CAGTTCAGAAGACGTGAAATAAAGTGCGCGCATCCGTAATAAAACGTCCCTCACACAGCTCCGGGGGGTGAATAAAGGCCTCCTGTAGCGAATCCATGCGTTTTTGGAGGATAAATATCCATATTTCAAATTTAATAAACACTTTTTTCTCACTTCCGCTGAGTGGACAGTGTTGGGCAAGTTACTTCCAAAATGTAATGCATTATATATTATTAGTTACTGTCTTTTGAAAGTAATTAGTTGCATTACAATATTACTGTCTCTGAATTGTAATGCGTTACACTACTTTTGAGTTACTTTGCTAAACTATTATTTATTATGTAAACCAGGCTTAAGTTACTTAACGGGCTTAAAAAACATCCTAGTCACATGAGCAAATATGTGTTTGGCTCGAGCTCAGGCTGAACGGCACGGATTGTACGCAGTATGCACTATTTAAATTAACCAGTGCATCTATACGTTTGGTTGACTATTTTATTCTGATAATGAACAGGCTGCAAGGTTTGCAATGCTGTATGTGTGTGCGTGAGGCGCCGGCGCGATCGAACAGCGGAAACAAACAACAACAAAATACTCCGTCATTTTTGGTCATAGGCCTACAGATCATTCGAAACTGCAATGTGTTTACTTTTATTTCAGTCATCTCGGTTTCCTTTCCGTGGACTTTTGTAGAGTGCCGCGCCACACAAATAGCCGAACCAAACTCAGCAGCATATCTCTCATCTCTTTTCCTTTCGTTTTGTTAAAGGGGTCATATGATGCGATTTCAAGTTTTCCTTTCTCTTTGGAGTGTTACAAGCTGATTGTGCATAGATAAGATCCCTGAAGTTGCAAAGACTAAAGTCTCAAAACCAAAGAGATATTCTTTATCAGTCGGCGTTGCGTGATTAGTGACGAACGCGGAGACCAAACAAAACAAAACGCCGGTCACGAATTAGAAGCACAAAACGAGGATTTGTAAAGAAAAATGTCGGAGGATTTCGATATAAGCCAAGGGGAAACTGGTTTTCCTTTGCTAAAGTAAGGAAAGTTTGCTTCCTTTGCTCCTGCATTTCTCAGAGGTGCGCGCTTGACGCCTACGTCCTACGTCATCCGTCTGCATGTTTTCCGCGTACCATAGTCAGCGGAAGGGAGAAAAAAAAAGTGTTTATTACATTTGAAATATGGATATTTATCTTACAAAAATGCATGGATTTGCTACAGGAGGCCTTTATTCACCCCCCGGAGCCATGTGAGGGACGTTTTATTACGGATGCGCGCACTTTATTTCACGTCTGCTGAACTGTTGACAACAAACACCCGCTTACCCTGATTGTAAGGCTTGGAGGGGACAGGACAATTTTTTTATATAATTCCGACTGGATTCGTCTGAAAGAAGAAAGTCACATACACCTAGGATGCTTTGAGGGTGAGTAAAACACAGGCTAATTTTCATTTTTGGGTGAACTAACCCTTTAAATGCAAACTGAATGTAATGTTTTAGGCATGTTATTTACAATCAAATGAAAGTGTATTATAGTTTAAATTTATATTAAATGCAATTAATTAATAACTTTTTTGACAAACTTAGGCCTTAAGTACATCTTTATATGTAATTAAATAATTAGGTCTCTTGTCTTTGAAGTATAGCTGTCACGGTCAGGGTGTTGAGAGATCAGGCAGGACGACGAAGATGACGAATAAACGGATATTTAATCAAGAAACAACAGGAGATCCAGACAGGGTAGACAGCAACACACAGGGTAACATTCACAATAACCGACAAACTAGAATACAAGAGACAGGAACTAATATAGGGCAGATAACGAGAGGCAGACAGGTGAGCATAATGAGGTGATTAACTAATAAATGACAACAGGAACAACCAAATAAGGACACGGAGGGAGAAACCACAATCGACAGTCCACAGGGGTGTGACAGATCGCCCCCCTCCCGGAAGGCGCGACCTCGCGCCGTGGAGACAGAGGGAGGGACGGAGGGGGACTTAGGAGGAGGGCAAAGGAGTGGATGTGGGATGGTGACAGGGAAGGCAAAGGGCTGGCAGGCAGACATGACAGGTGGAGGCTCCGGCGGAGGACGGATATCCGGGGCTGCCGACTCGACCAACGGCGGCGGAG